GCAGTAACTCCTTTGAAGGAGCATCGTAACCGCTCCCTGTTAAAATTTTAGCCGCTCTATTTTGCATTTTTTGTAGTTTCTGTATGTTATAGTTAGCTGCATTATCCCATACCATGCTACAGTAATCGAAATATGGGAGTATTAAGCTGTTGTATATAGTTTGCAAGACAGATTGGGTTACAAGCGATTTGATCCTTCTCATTATTCCTAAACCTTTCGAAACTTTAGCATTGATTTCATTTATATGGTCTTTCCACATTAATTTGTCATCGATTATAACTCCAAGTGTTTTGCATTTATTAATTTTCTTTACAGGTTCATTACCTATGCTTATTATTGGTTCTTCTTGAATGTTTATTATTTTTTGTCTTGAACCAATAATCATGTACTCTGTTTTATTGTGACTAAGAGTTAATTTATTTGCGAGAAGCCAGTGGTGTACTTTTTCTAAATTGTTATTCAAATTACTTTGGAGTTGTTGTACTGTCTGACCGGTTGCTGTTATATTTGTATCATCGGCAAACATGCTTGCACTAGCACTGTCTAGACAATTAGGTAAGTCGTTGACATAGATAATAAATAGCAGGGGTCCTAAATTGGAGCCTTGCGGCACACCAGTTTTAATTGGTTTCATTTCTGAAAATATGTTGTTAGCTTTGCAAGTTTGCTTTCTATTGGAGAGATACGACTTAAACCAATTTAATGTTATACCACGAATTCCATACATTGCTAATTTGTTTAGTAAAATTTGATGATCTACACAATCAAATGCCTTTTTTAAATCCAGAAATAAAACGCCGTTCAGAAGTCCATTGTCCATATTGCAATACCATCTATTTGTAACTGTAAGTAAGGACGTTTCGGTTGAATGATTTTTCCTAAAGCCTGATTGCTGATTGGCAATTATGCTGTTACTATGAAGATAACTACACAATTGATCAAATGCAATTTTCTCCAAAACTTTCGCTATAACTGATAGTACTGAAATTGGTCTATAGTTACCACAACAGGACCTATCATCTTTCTTAAAGATTGGCGAGAGCACCGCTATTTTTAGATCATCAGGAAAAATTCCAGATACAATAGATTCGTTAAAAATTTTTGTTAGTGATCTACTGATTACTCCAGCCGCATCTTTAATTAATTTTGGTGGTATTTGGTCATAACCAGTCGATTTAGTTGGTTTAACATTGGAAAGATATTTATAAACTTCATTTTCAGTTACAAAGTGCAGCTTAAATTCAGTTTCACTCTGATCTATATAACTAGATGGTTGAATTGGTGTCCTTTCTAAGTTTTCTGCCAGATTTGAACCTATGTTGCAAAAATAGTCATTTAAGACATTTGTAATTTCTTTAGCATCGGTAACACTTCCATTCTCAGTTTTAATTTCGGAAATAGTTGTTGTTTTTGATTTCTTGTTAATCAATTTATTAATAGTTTTCCACATCTCTTGTGGGTTTTTGGTGGTTGTTTCAAAACAGTGTATGAAGTGTTTGGCTTTGGCCTGTTTAATATTTTTAGTTACCTCGTTCCTAGCTTTTTTGTAAGCTTGGTGCATATTTAGAGACCCAGTCTTAACTGCTTTTTTCTTTAGATAATCTCTGTTCCTATTTTTTTTCATAATATCTTTCGTTAGCCAAGGTGTATATTCACTTCGTACCCTCCGAGTGATTGGTGGAGCATGCATATCAGCTACAAATAAAAACTTGTTTTTCCAATCCATATATATATAATTAATGTCATCAGACTGTTGATCAAAATCTATATGAAATATTTGTGATAAATCTGCAATAAAATTGTCTTTATTGTAGCCTTTGTATTGTCTAGTATTAACAACTTTTGGCTCACCACGAGGGATCGATAATTTTCTTGTTATACATATCAAACTATGATCACTAATTCCTATATGGTGTACCTCCGATCGAACAATAATTTCAGCTTTATTTGTAAACGCTAAATCGATAAGTCTACTAGTGTTTTCAGTTACTCGTGTTGGTTCTTTGATAAGTTGCTCAAATTGATATAATTCCATCATATCTTTTAATTTATCTGTATGTGATTGCATGCCTTGTTTAGACCAGTCACAATTAAAATCACCTATGCAAATCACTTCTACATTTTCTGCATCTATTTTTTCTAAAACGTTCTCATAATCGTCAAAAAGCTCAGCTTTTGAACTAGGTGGTCTATACCAGGCATTAACGAGAAAGGATTTTGCTTTAGGTTTCATGACTTCTACTGTGACCATCTGAAGGCTTTCTATCATTAACTCATCTCTTAGTTTATAGTTAATTGTGTTCCGTATGTAAAGTAATACCCCTCCTCCATGTCTATTTCTGTCTTTGCGTATAATTTCATAACCGTCAATCAAAACTTCATTGTCAGCTATAGTCTCATCCAACATTGTCTCGTTTAAGCAAATTATATCAAATTGTTTTTTTCTTAAAAATATTCGGAATTCATCAATGTGTTTAATAAGGCTTCTAATGTTTAAATGAGCTATTTTAAATCCCTTAACACTTTGTATTTCTTTTTGAATGCATTCATAATTTATTCTGGTTGAAGAATTTTGCATGCTATCTTGATTATTACGATTTTCTTCAAAACCGGAATACAACATGCTCTCACAGTTATTTTCTTTTAAATCTTGGTCAAAATTTAGCATGCCTTCATAGATTGTTTTCCCATCTGAAACAGAATGAAGCATGCTTTCCTGATTATCATGTTTCTCTGAATAAATTATACTGTTATCCTTAGAGCTATCCTTGGGGGTTTCTAGACATCAATTATTTATAAAATGAATAATGTTCTTGGCAAAGGCTGCAGTTCCCATTTTATTTAAATGCAGTCCATAATGATTTAAGTGTTTTGCACCTATATTATTATGTTTAATTAATCCCCAGTTTCTTTGTCTACAACAGTTTGCGAGAATTGTATTTACCTCTCTGCATAAAGAATTGTATCTACCCTATGCGGATATGCCTTTGAAAGAGCCGAAAAGTATATTTTACACCCGATATCCGCGTTTTACCCGATCGGGTAAAACGCGGATATGCCTTTTAAAGAGCCGAAAAGCATATTTTACACCATATTCGCGTTTTACCCGATCGGGTAAAATGCGGATATGCCTTTGAAAGAGCCGAAAAGTATATTTTACACCCGATATCCGCGTTTTACCCGATCGGGTAAAACGCGGATATGCCTTTTAAAGAGCCGAAAAGCATATTTTACACCATATTCGCATTCGCGGATATGATGTTTAAAACATATTTTAGAGAAAAATAGGTCATCCGTCCGTCCGCCCGTCCGTCCGCCCGTCCGTCCGTCCGTCCGTCCGTCCGTATCAGCGTTTTACCCTAACCCAATGTAAAATAGCCATACATTTCGCCGAACATAACTTTGGCCCCTTTGGACATATCTTTTTCGTAATAGTCTTATTCGAACTGGAATCCAAAACATTTAGAGTGTTATTTTCAAATTTGTGTCTTCAGATTTTCACCTTTTATTTCGGTACTTACAGAAATAAATAAATAAATAGTATTTATATTTTTAGCGCGGCCCGTGAAACGTTCTCAAAACAAAGCGCTGTTTACATTTTGGCCCTAAGGGTTTGGAAAAACCGGAAATCGATTCTACAAGTCAAAGTACTCCCAGTATTGCAGTGGCATGGTTTACACGTGCATCGGGCTACATATAGCCAAGCATACACCTGGCGTGTGCGTGCGAGTAAATCCCCGATATTTTGAAAAATTCAAAATAAATATTTCTATTCTGTGCCGTATTCAAACGAAACTTTCTACATGAAAGCGCTTGAATAGAAGGAGTATTTTACTCACATTGACTCTAAGCAAATTCTGATGAGTTAATTAAGAAGATATTCATGTGATTGGTCTTGATTCTTAAGAAACAAATTTGTGCAGGAAACATAGGGGATATAACCTTCATGTGCAGGCTTGCCATGCTACCAATGATGAAACGTGGAAATGAGGCCATTGGGTTAAAAGTAAACTTCCCTTTAGAGAATTGTCTAGAAATATAAACGTTTGCATTCAGTTCATGTGGCAAAAAGGCAGCACTTTCCTTGCGATAGTAACTCCTAGTTAATAACCGTACATTCTATCATTTAAAATCTTGGGTTGCCCTGCCAATCCAGATGAATTGCCCTGCCAATCCAGATGATTCGTATTTTGGGGGGTCACACCCCATACCACCTTAAGTTTCGCCCCCGTGGCCACGTGAAACTGAAAAGCATGAAGGTTGACGGAATTCAACTTGATTTGGAATTATTCTTCTAGATCACTTCTAGATACAAAACTATTTGTAGTTGCAAATGAATCAAGGCAATAATAAGTTGTACACTATAAATAAAGACAACTAGGAGAGGGAAAATCAATTTTATTATCAATGTTTGGCTCCCGTAGTCCCGTGTGATCAAACTATTATACAATATACTGGTAACACGTACGGAATTATATATGGACGCTAAAATATGTACTCAGAATCTGAGCGTAGATGTACTGTAATACTGTATCTGCGCTCAAATGCTATACCTCTCCGTGTTTAATATTGAAATTCTTGACTGCATTTTTTATTTTAGTTCTTGTCACCACAGTAGCCCAGAAAGTAAGTTATACTTTATGGTTTAAAGTACATGTTTAATGCAAAATATAATAAAATTAAAAATTAATTAATAAATAAATACCCACACAGAGCCTGGGCCACTCGTGTTGTCACTGTTGTTATTGTTGGTGGTGATAATCTAAACAGAACTGTGAAAAATAAAAATTGATACTGAATCGAAGACGAAAACTGGTTAAAACTCATTGTTCAAATATCAACATTACTAGAAAATACATGCATGCAGAAACCCTCGCCTTGCTGACAAACAGACAAAACCATTGTATTTTCCGAACATGAAGTATCTGAAGTAGTTGTCATGGTAACACGATAATTTTTTAAGAATATTCTTACAAATGAAAAATCGCCTAAAAAATATCACTTTTAATTACAAAATTATTAATTTGCCAACATATATATGTTAGGTATGTTATTATACGTAATATAAGCCTCAATTTAAGGTAAAATTCAACCACAAACGCTTCGCAAAACGTTTTAAAGTCACTAGTGTTCTTTATAAAACTAAACTGACTTTTAAAATGGCTTTATCGATAAACTTTGAGTTTGCAATAAAATGACTTCGAATTCTCGCTTGCAAATAAGGCCACATAAAAAAAATTACTTGTTTAGCGTCCACCCATTTTAATTTTTCTAGGTCGGGCGGACGGATTTTTTTTTTTTTTTTTTCGTAAAATGCAACACAAAATTCTGCTAAATGCAGGAAATCCAGTATATTACCACAGTCAAAACTCACTTTAATTCTTTCAAAATCCGTTCATGTTTTTTAACTTCCCGTTCATGTTTTTAATCAAACAGAAAATTACCGTTTGGCGGTCACGCGCGAACACTTCAGCTGCGAACAGGCATATTCTGGGAAGGAAACTTTGTGTAAACGTATTACATAGCTCCCAGAAGAATAAAATCACCATTTTTTCAAGTAAAACGGTCTTTTTTATAGAGAGTTTTTCCACTAAACTCGGACAAATTTAAAAAAAAAATTAAAAAAAATGGAGGTCGGGGACTTTTATGAGGTCGGGCGGGGACGCTAAACAAGTAATTTTTTTTATGTGGCCTAACTCTGCTTTCTTTTTTATTTAAAAAATTCAATATCATAAAAAAGGGAATCAATATTACTAAAGATACACTGAAATAATATGCTGTCTTGCTTAGTTGTTTCATATATGCAAAGGCCGTCGGGTTTTAAATTAAATCCATTATAAAATCAATATTTAAAACAAAGTTACCTTCGTTAACGTTGGCTCACTTCTTTTAGCCGATTCTTTCGCTGTTTCTTTCTTGAAATTTACAAAATCTTGCGAAAATGCGAGCGAAAATGAAATATATTTGTGATATTTGCAAGAAATTTATCAATCATCAAATCAAGAAATGTTTGCTATTTGATGACGAATCGCTTGTAAAAACGCGGACAAATACTTGCTCGAGTTACGCTTCTGGTATAACTTCCTATTCGGTGTGCTGTCGTCATGCAGTCGTTAATCGTTATAATGCAAACTTTAAATTGGACCAATCAGTTTTCGCTATTCATGACAGTCCGCCACATATTTTGAGATCAGTGAGGATGACCACCTGGACCAATCAGTTTTCGCTATTCATGACAGTCCGCCACATATTTTGAGATCAGTGAGACCGAAACTTCGTTGGTGAGCCACGCCCGCGATATTTGATGAACTTTAGACTTCGCTAATGCTTTCGTTTCCCCGGGTGTAAATAGCCGGGGGGAATTAGTACCCTCGCACGGCGCTTCGCGCCGTCGGCTCGGGGACAACAATGTTACAAGTTGCGCAATTACTGCATATGCTCTCTACACCTATAATGGCCAATACCTATTTGTCCTTGAAATATTGGTTTGTTTTACATTCGAAACGCACTATACCTAGGCAGTAAAGTAATTATTGGTATTTCAATTAACATTTTACTGCTTCCTGCAGTACGTGTTGGCTTGGAATGCGTATTTGATTTCTCAGTCCAGGCTACTATACTGCTCAGGAACGTTGGCTGCAAACAAGTGCAGTAATTCCCAGCTGAAACTATTTTTTGTTATGCCACGCCCACACATGACACATCACTATTATATATCAAGTACTGCTTATAGGTATCATCAAACAAGAATTTTGATTTGCTGATAGTCCTGATAGTTTGAAAGTAGCGTAAGTCGGGGCAAAACGAGACGGTGGGGCTAAATGAGACGATTATGCAATAATGCTAGTTTTCGGCGTATTACCGCAGGTTTTTTATCACAAGCATTACGGGCTCATAAACAAGCATTTTTCGAAGTTATTCAACGAGGTTTGAGGATTCAAAGCTATTTCACAGCGAAAAAAAATCGATTCTTTTGGATTACACTGAAGTTGGCGTCTCAAAATTGAGGTATGTTATTACTTAGCATATTTAGATAGTTTTTTATTCTGTCTAAAATATATGCTTGCCCAAAGCGGACAAAATTACGAACAATGAAATACCAAGTCCATTTTCTCTAAAATATATGCTTGCCCAAAGCGGACAAAATTACGAACAATGAAATACCAAGTCCATTTTCTCAAATACCAAGTCCATTTTACAAATACCAAGTCCATTTTCTCAAATACCAAGTCCATTTTACAAATATTGGGTCCATTTTCTCAAAGGTCCATTTTCTCAAATACCAAGTCCATTTTACAAATAGCAAGTCCATTTTACAAATACCAAATCCATTTTCTCAAATACCAAGTCCATTTTACAAATATCAAGTCCATTTTAAAAATACCAAGTCCATTGTACAAATACCAAGTCCATTGTACAAATATCAAGTCCATTTCACAAATACCAAGTCCATTTTACAAAATAATATCAAGCCATTTTTATTCACTGCCACAGTGCTACTTTGGAAAATGAAATTTCCCTACAAGGAAATTGTCAAAATGGAATTGATATTCGCGTGCGTGCAAAACAATTTGCGAAACACAATACCAATTCGAACATGCTAATTAGGTCATAATGTTTCAATGAATGTATGATTATGTAGTTATTTATTCAACGACTGTATAATTATGCAAAGACAATTTATGCAATTGCACCTTAAAATGGCGGCAAGGTGGTTACCAAATATTGAAGAGTTTTTCGAATCTTTACATAATTATATCCATACATTTTGGCGCCCAACAGTATCTAAACAGCACAGACAGAAATGACAGTGACTACTAGTTGAGAAGGGTTCTAAATTATACATCTGTTGTAAATTCACTCTTTGCAAGAATGTGGACATCAAGCTACAGGCAGGGGTGCACATTAGGGGGGGGGGTGACACCCCCATGTTTTGTGAAATATATCTAAAAAGCCGGTCGCAAAACCTGAATGGGACGAAAAAGTCGGTACGGCTAAAATCTGAAAGATATTATCATTTTGTGTCGAAAAAAGTAATAGGTGCACGTTCTGGAAATGGAAGTTGCATAAACATGTTAGAAAAATGAATTAGACAAAGAAAAACAATTAAACATACACAAATTAGAGTTCACTGACACAAACCAAGAGAGCAAATAATCAACTTACTGCAACATTTCAGCCAACGTAATGCGATCCGATTACCTAAGGGGGCTCTGCAATGGGCATAAGAACTGCCCTTGTGGAAAGCTAAAATCCTAACCCCAGTAAAAAATGCCTATGGTTGCTTTAAAGAGCACATCTGAACTTGAATTTGCGCTCAAAGCAACACTCATTACCGACTTCTACAAAAACGAAGACATGCTGTTGTATTTGCGTGTACAATACTATGTTTACATAAATATTTTTCAATGACAACATTAGGCAACTTAAAAATGCCTTTTTGTGGTTGTAACTTTTCTTTAAACTTCGTCCTAAAATACTTGAAATATCTTTCTAATAAAACTAGAAATTCAAAATTTTCCTCGCGCCTACGGCGCTCGCTTTGGAAATTTATAAAAATTCCCCCCCCCCCTCCCTCCTTCCGAAAGTTTAGACCGCTGCAAAAGTTCTGAAAAACTGAACGTTTATTTAAACTTTTGCAATACTATCCCCTATCCCCGTCTTACCGTCTATGCGCTTTATTGAAATAGTTGGCTTTTCTTATCAAACACAAATACTACAAAAGTCGGTCCCAGAACATAGACACCCCCCCCCATTTTTTCCGAATGTGCGCCCCTGGCTACAGGTTGTATAAAAAAGTAGACAATTTTGAAACAGCTCTAGTCAATTTCACAAATCCGTTCATTTCAGGAAATTTTTGATAAATATAAATTATAATGTAGAATAAACAAGTATTTTGTAAAGATAAATTTTCCAGAGCAGGCGGGATATATTAGCAGCATTAAAAATAGCTTGCGCGCGAAATATAAAAATTAAAAACGTATTTTGAGTTCATGGGCGAGAAATCTGTTATGTGTTTTATCAATACATGGCCCAAATATCAGAAAATTTACTAAATTTTAAGTTCTTTAATTAGCTGCTGAAACTTTCATTTTTTGGCACCAATGCCCATCAGGCATGCTTTATTCATGCATTTACCTAATAATTATTATTGCAAAAGAAGTAAATAGCAATATCAAAATTAGGTAAGAGTTGCTAAAAAAGACACCACCCCTGTTCTGGAAAATTTGTCTTCACGAAAAACGTTTGTTTTGAAGTAGATTGCGCAATGTCAGAAATTCAGTCCACTGGAAACTTTGCCCGGGGTGATGGAATTCAGATAATTTTTGTAAATTTATTTTTGTTTTATTATATATTTTATTAACTTTGTGATTGTGTTGTGTTGTGTTGTGTTGTGTTGTGAAAACCTGTTTCCAACAATTTATTCTACACTATAAGTTCCCAGACAATCTAAATGTATCAAAAATTTCATGAAATGCGGATTTGTGAAATTGAGAGCTGTTTCAAGATTGTCTACTTTTTTATGCACCCTGCAGCTAGGTGCCGGCATTCTTGTGAGGAGTGAATTGGCAATAATGCGTGGCTATAAAGATTCGAAAAACTCTTCAATATTTGGTAACCACCTTGCCGCCATTTTAAGGTGCAATTGCATAAATTATCTTTGCATAATTATACAGTCGTTGAATAAATAACTACATAATCATACATTCATTGAATACATTATAACCTAATTAGCATGTTCGAATTGGTATTGTGTTTTGTACATTGTTTTGCACGCACGCGAATATCAATTCCATTTTGACAATTTCTTTGTAGGGAAAATGGACTTGATATTATTTTATAAAATGGACTTGGTATTTGTGAAATAGACTTGATATTTGTACAATGGACTTGGTATTTATAAAATGGACTTGGTATTTGGGAAAATGGACTTGTTATTTCATTGTTCGTAATTTTGTCCGCTTTGGGCAAGCATAAAAATACCGCAGCTAAGAAATATACTCCATTTGTTTTGTATACAAAAACATGTGGCCTTTCATGTACAATGGACTTGGTATTTGTAAAATGGACTTAGTATTTGAGAAAATGGACTTGGTATTTATAAAATGGACTTGGTATTTGAGAAAATGGACTTGGTATTTATAAAATGGACTTGGTATTTGGGAAAATGGACTTGTTATTTCATTGTTCGTAATTTTGTCCGCTTTGGGCAAGCATAAAAATACCGCAGCTAAGAAATATACTCCATTTGTTTTGTATACAAAAACATGTGGCCTTTCATGTTAAAAGTGTATTTTGCTCATGTTGCTCTTTATTTTTATCATTTTGAGCCTTTGAATTCTCCCAAGTGCCGTGGGGCTAAATGAGACAGGCCGATTTTCTTACAAGACTATACACTTCTGTTTGCTTATGGGCATTATCGCTATCTGTTGTAATGTTGTAATCAATATATATGGTATATAAAGTAGCATAGGGGTATTATACAATGTATATTAGTGTCTCAAAGTGGTGTTTTAATGCAGTAAATGTTTGTATGTACCATCATTCTACCCTACATATGTGCATCATTGCTCAAACAATTCATATTAAATAAAAATTTACTATAGATTTTTATGTCAATCTAAAAATAATCTGTGGGTACACATCAGTTGGGTTTTCTCACTTAGTTCTGTGACACCATCAGTTGACGAGGTACTTAAATAGACTTAATATTATTTTTAGAATGGTCCGAAACTACAAACGGAAGACTGACCGGGCAAATTGGTCAGAGGAGCAAATGAAGCTTGCTATCTTGGCAGTAGAAAACAAAGAGCTGTCCATAAGAAAAGCTGCCGTTGTCTTTGGGGTTCCCAAGTATTCACTAAATCGCCGAGTGCAAGGTAAGCTGAAAAGTTTATCCGCAGAGGAGAAACATAAAAATATTTTGGGGCGTTATCGTGCAATTCTCACCCATGACCAAGAGAAAGAGCTTGAAGACCACATAATCAACATGGATCAAGCTTTTTATGGTCTTTCCATAAATGACATCAGAGCCATTGTCTATGACTATTGTCAAAAGAACAATATTAAGAACAATTTCAATTCGGATAACAAAATGGCTGGTCGTGACTTCGTTGCGGGTTTTATGAAGCGCCACCCAAAGTTGTCACTTCGAAGACCAGAATCAGTGTCTGTGAATCGGGTTTTTGGTTTAAACAAGACCTCTGTGAATTTATACTTTGATAACCTGGAAACTGTGTTGGATAAACATAACTTTAAACCACATGAAATCTTTAATTGTGATGAGAGTGGTTTGACCTGTGTTCACAAACCAGTGAAAGTCGTTGCGCCAAAGGGAAAGCGATGTGTCTCCTCTGTTACTAGAGCGGTGAACGTGGTCAAACAACAACCATTTTAGTGGCCTATAGTGCATCAGGTACATACATTCCACCAATGATGATCTTTAAAAGAAAACGCAACCGGCCGGAGTTGGTTGATCATGCTCCTGCAGGGACTATTGGACGCTGCTCTCCAAATGGATGGATCGATGCGGACCTGTTTCTGGATTACTTGAAGCACTTTGTAACATTTACAAAGTGTTCGAAAGATTCCCCAGTGTTATTGATCCTTGATGGTCATAAAACACACACAAAGATTCTCTCCACCATAGAGTATGCTCGTGATAATGGTGTTGTCATCCTGTCACTCCCTCCACACACCTCCCACAAGCTCCAACCACTGGATCGAAGTTTCTTCAAACCGCTCAAGAGTGCTTTCAATGCAGCATGCTCAACCTGGATGCGAAACCACCCTGGCCGCAGAATCACTGTCGACAAGCTTGGGGAGCTGTTCAATGCTGCCTATTTAAAAGCTGCTACCATTGAGAATGCTGTGTCAGGATTCCGATGCACTGGCATTGTCCCATTGAACAAAGAAATTTTGCCTTCATCTGATTTCCTAGAGGACCCCCGTGTTGTTGGTACACCATCGGATGAGACCTTGTCTTCCCTTGCTAACACAGCTAATCAGAGCCCAAGCCATGAAGAAGCATCATCTTCAGAAGCACAAACCAGAGAGTCCTTTCCAGCGACTGAAGAGACTACACTAATGCCACCTGTATCCTCAGAACCCAGAAATTCTTCACCCACACAAGATGAACCACCTGCAGTCGACCACGTCAGCTTTTCAATGATAATGAAACTGCCTACCCTCACCGAGAAGAAGAAGTCAAAGAGATCTGAGGAGTCTAGGATAGTTACTAGTTCTCCATATAAACAGTCTCTTGTCGAGAACATAGCTGAACAAAACAAAAAAAGCAAACGAAAACTTTCTGCCAAAGAAAAGAAGTCGAAGAAAGCTGAGGATCAACTGCCAAAAGCCAAGAAAGCTAAGACTGATAACAAGAAATCGGCAAAAGCTAAGAATGTTAACATGGACATTGAGGAAGATTCTCAATGTCCCATGTGTGATGGATTTTGGACAGAGTCATTGCCTGGAGAGGATTGCGTCCAGTGTTGCAAGTGCGAAAAGTGGTTGCATGAAGATTGTTGTTGCTCTGTGACACCAACAACTGTAATATGTGACATTTGCTATGACTGTTAGATAAACTTTTATCCACTTTCCTAATGTATTTTTAACCTTAGTTTTATCCTACCATTAAAATATTTTCAAATTTTTAAAAATTTCTGTATATTTAATATTTGTCTCATTTTGCCCCAGTTCAATGGGGCAAAATGAGACATTTACTTCCGGTCGTTTTTCTTGAATAATTCCCACAATATTACCTGAAGAACAGTTTTTTTCCCTGAGTTGGTTCACTACAATCCGTTTAACATATTAATGGTAAAAAAAGTGTTTTAATATGTTTCCTTGCTTTTTTATGACAATCACACTGCTTAAGCGTCTCGTTTTGCCCCTAACTACGCCGTCATTGCGTGACTCAACAATCGATGGATGGATGGATGGATGCATAGTGTAAACATTCCGGGTGGTGCTTGTAAATTATGTTCTGTAGATTTGCAACGCTCGGCCAGCATAAAAATTTAAAAAAATTCAAATTTAAATCTTATTTTATTCAGACAAGGGAACAATGGATGATTCTATCAGAATCATTATCATAGCGACAACAGTGGGTGCTGGCATATTCCTTGGCATCACACTTATCGTCTTATTGATAAAATACAAACGATTGAAGCGGGCTTCAAAATTATCAACTCCTGTCAATATTCCATTGGAGGTGAATGAAATTTCACCACAACCATTGCCAGTTGATGAGGTAAATTATTTATGGTCATGGTGTTGGTGACACAGTGAATGGTTATTACATATGGGATTCCAGGAAGAACAGATCGAACTGATAAAGTTATCCAATATAAATAGTTTTAGTTTAGGTTTCTTCTTGTAGTAGCACTGGAGGAATAAGAGATGGGCTCACTGAACCTCTAGAATTGATAGAACTATGACAGCTATCTAGTATAAGTAAATTTACTTTAGTTTGTACTTGAACTTCGAGGGTTTTTCTGTCTCCAGTTTTTCTCTATCATAAAAACCAACTCTTAGAAATTAGTTGTCAAGCACGTGCATGTATCGTGTGCCTCTGACTCGGGTGAATTGGGCAACCACACGCTGTGTGTAATCGTCATTAAATAAATCAATCATTCTTATCAAAAAACAGGAGACAGTTTACGAAACTGTTCCGAACGTTGATCAAGGGTTTCACAAAGACGTTGCCACAAATGCAAACGAGTCTGAAGACATATCAGCTGAAGGTCAGTAATATCACAGATTATAGATATTAATATCTAACCTGTGGTAATAAGCGTATAAGAATTAGTATAAAAAATTATACTAACTTTGGTATGTACTGTAACATATTTGCTCATTCTAAGAAGAAATGTAATAATATATCTTGGTTGAAAAGAAATCAATCTTGATAAATGTTTTCACTGAGAAGTAGTAAAGAACGAGGATGAGAGTTGGTAAGAGGTAATGAAGGTTGAAACTTTCGCTCGTGTTTGACCACCAACTTTTCAACTTTTAATTGGTTCAAATTTTGATGAGAGTTTTTGCTGCGCGCGCTAATATCAAGTCAAATCTCGTCAACTGTCAGCACCTCTTCTTCTCGTTTGACCAGGGAGATTTGTAATCGTCTTTTGTTTAATTAAAGGCCAGGCATCACTTCACGATTGGGCAGGAGTTCTATCAAATGCAGACAAGACGTCTGGGTACGAAACGCCAGTCGAAAATGAACATCAGACGTTTGGGTACGAAACATCAGTCGAAAATGAACATCAGACGTTTGGGTACGAAACATCAGTCGAAAATGAACATCGAGAGTTTTACGATGACGTCGCCACAAATGCAAACGCGTCTGAAGACATATCATCTGAAGGTCAGTAATATCACAGATTAGATATTAATATCTAAATCTAAATATGTATATTAGGTACTATGTACAACATGAGCAGCCGTGTTGAAAAGAAACCTGTCTTGATAATTGTTTTCACTGTAGAACGAGGATGAAAGTTTTAAGAGGTAATAAAGGTTGAAACTCTCGCTCGTGTTTTCCCGCCAACTCTCGTGCACTCTCATAAACTCTCATCAGTGTTCAGCTGGTTCAAATTTTGAGTAGAGTTCATGAGAGTTTTTGTTGTGCTTGGAAATATCCAGTTAACTCTCATCAGTGTTTATCTGGTTCTAATTTTGAGTAGAGTTCATGAGAGTTTTTGTTGCGCTTGGTAATATCCAGTTAACTCTCATCAGTGTTCATCTGGTTCTAATTTTGAGTAGAGTTCATGAGAGTTTTTGTTGTGCTTGGTAATATCCAGTTAACTCTCATCAGTGTTCATCTGGTTCTAATTTTGAGTAGTTCATGAGAGTTTTTGTTGTGCTTGGTAATATCCAGTTAACTCTCATCAGTGTTCATCTGGTTCTAATTTTGAGTAGAGTTCATGAGAGTTTTTGTTGTGCTTGGTAATATCCAGTTAACTCTCATCAGTGTTCATCTGGTTCTAATTTTGAGTAGTTTATGAGAGTTTTTGTTGTGCTTGGTAATATCCAGTTAACTCTCATCAGTGTTCATCTGGTTCAAATTTTGAGTAGAGTTCATGAGAGTTTTTGTTGTGCTTGGTAATATCCAGTTAACTCTCATCAGTGTTCATCTGGTTCTAATATTGAGAAAAATTCCATGCAAACTCTCGCCATATTAAGACGGATGATATATATTTATTGATACAATGATATATTTAGGTTACGAAACTGTCGCAAGTGTTGATCGAGAGTTTTACGATGACTTTGCAACAAAAGCAAACGAGTATGAAGACATGAGAGTTGATGTGGAGTACCCCTGTTCTAACACAAAGCATTTTACAGCGCCCAGCTGATGAGAGCTTTCGCTACGCGCGCTATAATTATGCACGCCGAGAGTTGAGAAAATCACACAGGCATGATGCTTGCGAACTCTCGCTATATTAGGGACGGGTCCTGCAGTCTTAAGCATTGATCAAACGCGCATGAGAGTTGAGAAGCAGAGTTTAAAGCGAGTGAAGTGCAGACAATGACTTTTGTTTTAGTCTTGGTGAGACACTATTGTACGAGATTATTTTTTCTGCAATTTTATATGTTATTATGCAATAAAATATGTTATTATTAAAGTTAAAGTGATTCATTTTCAGTTCAGCCTTTCGTTACATGGGTCCGATATACTATTAATGTGCTATACGTGTCTTTAATTTGGACTTGTATATTTTTTCTCCTTCATGATTAAAGAAACGTCTGGCGAATATTGGATCAAAGAACTCAGTTTAAAGAACGAAGATAAGACGATACTAAAATCTCAAAGAATGCTGAATGATCGTCACATGAACGCTGCGCAAAAACTATTAAAGAAAAAATTTCCACATATCAGTGGCTTACAGGACACCATCTTATCCCAAACTTCGTTCGTGAACACACAGGGTGAAGGAATACAGATCCATAACACTGAAAAATACCATTGGATTACATCGGCATCAATAGGTATATATATATATATATATATATATATATATATATATATATATATATATATATATATATATATATATATATATATATATATATATATATATATATATATATATATATAAAACCACAACAGACTGTTGTGGTTTTTTTGAGGTAAAACGAAAAACTATATATATATATATATATATATATATATATATATATATATATATATATATATATATATATATATATATATATATATATATATATATATATATATATATATATATATATATATATATATAAAGCTTCAAATTGAAAATAAATGTTATTAAACTTCAAATAAATTAATACATGTTGTAAAGATAAAGATACGTTTCGGGGCACAGCCCCTTCGTCAGAAACGAGATAAGTTCAAATCCATGTCCTTAAATACTTTTGGCCCAATCCTAATTAACATACACTAATAATATATATAGACTTGCATTAATATTCCTCCCTCAAATTTAATCCCAGTGGTACATATGTATTCAATTTTTCAATCCAAAAACTTTCCCTTTCTGTAGGTTTATTAACATCCGTTAATAAACCTACAGAGAGGGAAAGTTTTAGCATTGAAAAATTGAATACATATGTACCACTGGGATTAAATTTGAGGGAGGAATATTAATGCAAGTCTATATATATATTATTAGTGTATGTTAATTAGGATTGGGCCAAAAGTATTTAAGGACATGGATTTGAACTTATCTCGTTTCTGACGAAGGGGCTGTGCCCCGAAACGTATCTTTATCTTTACAACATGTATTCATTTATTTGAAGTTTAATAAAATTTATTTTCAATTTGAAGCTTTATATAAATGAAGTTTTTTGAGAGGCTAGTGATATATATATATATATATATATATATATATATATATATATATATATATATATATATATATATATATATATATATATATATACATATATACATATATATTGATAATATTAATATCAATATATCTCAGTTAAACCTGCAGGGCCGCTTAAAAAGGCAGTGTGACCGATTTTGATCCTCGCAAAACCTTGCTCAAAACCTGATAAGAATAATTGTAAGCACAGCATAAGGATGGTTGAGATTAGGCGAGGATTGAGCGTACACTTTTTCAAGCTTAGGGTCAATTTGTGTGAAAACGTCGTCTTACATGCTGTGTGCAAGTTTAAAGTTGTTTAATACGATTCGTATATCATAACTGAACATATTTATAATGCTTATTTTCAAATTCGCTGGTCCGCAGACTTTGAATATAAAAGACATTTTCGGTCAAACATCGGTGACACTGCCCCTTTAATCCGTGTTTACCTCAAAAGACCACTATAGTCTGTTTTATCTGTTAAGACTTAAGAATCATTTGAAATTTGAAAAAAATCCAAATTTGTTACCACCTGCATGTAATTCTTTACGGATGAAACACTTTATATAGACCCATTGCACATGACGTCACAGCGCCGGTGACGATGCATCTGGAGGATAAATTAGCAATCTATGCATAATATAACTTTCGTAAACAAAGCAAATTTTGTAAAACTTTATAATAATTTTGTATTAAAATGGTTAATTTTTGCGCTGTATGTGAATTTTGTACCCGAACAAATATTGTTAGGAAGCATCTGGAGGACACTCTAAGGATTTGTGACGTCAATGCAATGGGTCTATAGTGACTTTTCGATTAGATACATTAATTTAACCTAAAATTTGTATATATGTTGTTGACATTGACAGGCGGTCATGTTAGAGTCTGCGACAGCCGCTACGATTACCTGGCGGGATCAACCAAAGTTCAACTGGCACAATGTTACCAAAATTTAATTGACGAGTCGGGACGTTTGGAAGTGGATATCCGACCTGTTCAGACCCAGACAGGATCAGTCGACTGTGGATTGTTTGCTATCGCCTTCGCGTACGAATTAACAGTTGGACACCAGCCCGTACACCTGATACACTTTGACCAAAATAGAATGAGGAGCCATCTTCTCTCCTGTTTTGAGAAGCGAGAACTAACCCACTTCCCCCAAGCAAGTCGACAGCCAGCAACACAGCCAATTAGGCAACACAACAAAGTTAAAATCGCGACCTTATGTGACTGTAAACTGCCAGAAAAATGTAACTGTGCACTAGGCTTTTAGCCAGAGTTCTAAAAGATGGCGTCCAATTTTGGTACAACGATACATCTACAGTAAGGGGGGGGGGGGTTGAGAAAACGTTCCTCTGGAAAACCTTTGAAGTTTACGTTACTTCATGTCAGTATCTGTCCCAAGCTCGTTCGAAATTTTTCAAACACACTTGGCTTTGTGAGTTTGTGCCGCTATGCTTCTTTACTTAACTACGACATTTTCATTCAGCCATGTACCCATCAAATAGATCAAAATGTCAAATGTATAATAATAATAAGAATTGAAGCTATTTCGTTTCAGATAAATTAATATACTTAGGGAAATAATTGAAAATAATTTCCCTTTTCCCCCAGAATTTGGGCGTCCAAAGGCGTTCACTTTTTTCTATAGGGCGTCCCAGGACGCCCTTCTGGCTAAAATCCATCTGTGCACACAAAGCTTCTTTTTAATCTAATAATCTTTAATCTTTCAAGAGTTTCACATTAAATAGTATATACTAATTTACAATGTGAATTACATTTAAAATTTATAAGAAATCTAACTATAATATTTACAAGTAATCTTTAATTTAAAAATATTTTGAAAGAATCGACAAATTTACTTCGACTCCAGCCTTTGCGGTTAAAACTTTCAATCCCATACTATTTTTAAATCGTTCTGCTCGATATCTAAAATTATACAGTTTTTCTCCATTTGATTTAGTTTGTCTCTGTCTTATCTGATTAACTGTTTTTGGCAAGAAACTATGTAGTCTTTAATATTTTAAGGAACTGAACTCAATAAACGATCCAATACTGATCTGGAGGACAAGGGATACGTAATACCTGCTCCTGGGAAACCACAACACGAAACAGCAGGTCAAAATAAAACCTGTGAAGAGCCCAAATTATCGCCAGAAAATCCTGTTTATACTGAGCTTGATGTGAACGGTAGGAATACAACGGAAGACAGTACCTATCAGAAACTAGTAAAGCCAGACTCACGAAACATCCTTCTTTAACAGTTCATGATAAAAAAATATGATTTTGACCAATAAATGCGGGAATAAGCTTTAACACGAAAACGAGGCTAAGGGGCAATGGCCCATGCATGTATTGAAGAAGGATGCTCTGCTTCTTTGCACGTAGCCAGTGAGAAAAAAACTTGAAATTCATTCCATTTAAGGGGAGTCCTAAGCTAAAAACAGTGTAGCTGTGAGGTAATTACCGGAAAGGGCTATTCTTGTTTGACCCCCCGTTAAAGCCTGCCGCACACGAGAGCAACTTGCTGAGCTAACCGCCTCGCGAGGCGTTAGCTCAGCTATGTATTTTCACCGCACACGTTGGGAAAACTACTCAACAACAACATAATTAACAAAATTGTTTGCATTTTCCTCCATTTTGTTCCATGTCACATGAAGAAACTATGGTTTGTCATTGGCTAATTGATTGAAAGAGCTCAGCACTTAGCTCACAATATCCGCAGACGCTGAGATTTTTTCCTCGCGAGGCGAAAAATATCAAACATGATAGATATTTTCCTCAAGGCCTCGAGAAGTCAAATCCTCACGAAAACTATACGCACACAAGAGCTACTTGCTGAGCTAACCGCCTCGCGAGGCGGTTGGCTCTGCAAGTTGCTCTCGTCTGCGGCGGGCTGAGGGAAAGTACATTTATTATGCCGAGGGGGGGATGAAGATGTTAAGGGGGGGCACCGAAATATTTTCTGGCATTAAAGGGGGGGGCTCTGAAATTTCTCGATATACTGAAGAGGGGGCTCCAAACTTTTCAAAGTTTTGGTCCAGTGGGGGCCTAGAGTGTTCACACCAGTGAACTGTTGACTCCCACCATAGTAACATAGTTAATAGAATAGAATAGATGGTTTGGAACTCATTATAATAACAATATAACTCATTACCTATGTTAGTGAACAATAACATTCATAAATCTAGTCTTTTACCGTCACGTGCGTGTTGTATTTTTGCCCGACTAACCAATAGCAATGTTTTAAGAAAGTTACCTATCCAGGATTCAAACAATATGTGACGGTGAAGGAATACATTTATGAATAAACGTTGACTAACATAGATAATGAGTTATAGTGCTGCTATTCTAACGATTTCTAAACCATCTATTCTATATTAACTGGCGGCATGGGGAAGCTCCACATGGAATACGTAAAAGATCGAAGGCTGCAACACACGCCTGCCAAAAATGCATGCAAAAGCACCAATATGCTTCAACTTTTCATTCTGTTTCTACCAAATTTTCCATGAATATAGAACATATCATTCTTACAAATCGTATGTTTTTTGTTTTTGGAATTGCTACTTAAATTACGTCACAAACTTGGCGCCAAAAATAAAAATAAGCTATTGGTGATTTTACTAAACCCATTTAGTAGAGCAAACTAAGGGTACTTTAATTAATTAAAACTGAAATCTGTTTCTAAATACAACCATTTTATGGGAAGATATAGCGATACAATGTCGAAAAACTGCTATATTGTTACTAAAAATAGAACAAAATGGCTGATTTTTAGAACTTTAAGTCATTTTATCTTCTCAAGGAATGGTTGTCAGGGTCGTAGCGACCGGGGTGTGTGGGAGGGGGTGTAAAACTCCCCCTATTATGAAATTCAGGCAAAAATCATGTAAAACCAAGTTAAAATTTTGACATTTTCAAGTAAAATTTGCGTAATAGAGTAATTATTTTTGTGAAATGATAACCATTTTTGTAAAATACAGTCAATTTACATGCAATTTGTTTGCGAAATTTGCTTTAGAAAACGCCAGAAATTCAGTCCTAGAGCTTCGAAAATGTAAAAATTTTCTGGGGGAGGACCCCCAGACCCCCCTTTTCTCCCAAAACTTAGTATAAGAGTGCCAATCAATCACAAAAAGCTTTATTATAATTATTACACGTATAATCCTCTGTCATCCCACCCCCCCACTCCAAACGTCAGATGCTTTGCTACGTCCCTGATGGTTGTATTCGAAACCGATTTCAGTTTTAAGATATCCTTAGTCTGCTCTTCTAAATGGATACATGAAATCACCTATAGCTTATTTTAAATTTTTTGGCGCTAGGTTTGTGAAGTAATTTACCCGCCAAAAAGTAGCAGTTCCAAAAACAAAAAAGCATACGATTTGTAAGAATGATATGTTCTATGTTTATGGGATATTTAGTACAAACGGGATGAAAATTAAAGAAATTGAAGCATACTGGCACTTTTGCATGCATTTTTGACAGGCATGCAAAGACATTTGCAACAGATGCCAGGAGATACGTTGGGTGGGGGCAACATACTGTAAGGTTCCAGCACATTACCCTGATCCAGGAAATCCTGGCCACTACATGAACGTGTTCAAGACTCCGAATACGCTGAATGATGGACAACAACAACCTGTTGATAATTTCACCCCTAGAGCCAATTTAAAATGTTTTAAAGATGGTGCCATTTCATCTGGCGCTAGTGAGGTGAAAGCAGCAAATCGGTAGTTTTGTTGAGGAGAAGCACATGCTTGAGTATATCAGACATCTTGAGGAACTGCAAATTGTATCTATGATAAGAGAGAATTCCGGATTGTACTCCTTCGATTCCCAATACTGG